CTCCTCTACTCTCCGGAATTAGCCCTTCCCTCCTCCACCAGAATTGGCCAACACCAATGATGTGCCCGAATGAGCCCTGCCACAGCTTCTTGCTACGGCCAAGCTCAGGCTTTATTTCGGAGCAGACTCATCATGAGGAAGAAGAGAGTGCTTTCGGCGTGGCGTCGTGGAGAGAAATATGATTTTGTGCTTTTAAACAAAAAGGGTAAAAGTGTATTTTTAGTCTTTATAATTTAGACAGACTCAACGAATCTGGGCCTCCTCTTTGGCCAAATCTAAAACAAAATTTGATTCCTATGTATTAAAACCTAAACAGAAATATTGTATGTCTCAAATCCTAATTTGTAAGGATTTTTATGTCTAATACCTAATTTTTCTAAATTTTTTTGTTATATCTAACTGGGTAATTATATATATATTTATTTAGCTCACAAACTTATTTTGTAATTTTCCCTTAAATTGACTATATTAAGGGCATGTTTGGGAGTGCTTTTGGAAGGGCCAAAAGCACTTTCTGATAACTAAAAGCGCTTCTGACAACGTTTGGCGGAAAAGTTTAGAAGTGCTTCTTGGAGAAGCACCTGCTATATGCTTCTTCAGGAAGCACTCCCAAGTGCTTTTCCACAAAGCACTTTAATTTTTTTTATGAAAATTCTAAATTTTTATAATAAAAGAGCTTTTGTTAGAAGCGCTTATGAGCAAAAGTACTTTCTAGAGAAGCACTCCCAAACGAGCCATAAATTAATTCACTCTCCGTTTAGATAAGGAAAAATAACTCGGAATTTAACTAATAATCGAGAATTTAAGAGGAGATATTGACAATTCCTTTATTTGGTAACTTAAGCACGAAATTTATTAAATAACACGTAGAAAAAATCGTGGAAACTAGGGGCATCAAATTTCCGAATTTAATTTCCACCAAAATAGGCATCATTTCACAATTTCAGTGCAATTGATAAAATTTTGTCATTTACAAAATTCGGCATACATAAATCCAAACATTGAAATCTTCAATTGCCAAAAAATGAAATAATAGAAATATAAATTTTGTCATTTAAGAATTCTGTGTAATTTTCAATTCCTTCGTAAACTATAACATTAACATCAAACAATATTGTAAAGCTGATACGGTGGACTTCTTTGTCCGGTAATAATACTATTCTGTCAATTTCGTTAGTAGATTTAAGAATCATTGAAGTGTTAGATTGTCTAAGAAACTTCAAAGTTTGAACAACATGAGGGATTGCCGAGGTTTTCTAATGCAGTTCAGTCAGATATTCAGGGCCCGTCTAGTAATGTTTTCGGATAGTGTTTTATGAGAATATTTCAGAGAATGAAAACAAGAAAACAAATTTGTATTTTCAGGAAATGAAAATGCGTCTAGTAGATTAATTAGAAAACATCTTTAGAAAACAAAAACAATGAAATCGTGTCTGGTAGTACAATTGTTTTTCATGTGTATTTTTTATAATTTCAGTTCTCACGCATGTGTCAATTGGTTTTCTTTTTTCTTTTTTCTTTTTTCTTTTATTTTTAGAATGAAGAAAAGATAATATAGGTAGTTATGTTCCATAAAAGTAGGATCTATTATATGATTTTGTTTTTATTTTTATTTTTTTAATATGAAAAAAATGTGAATTTAACATATTATCCTCATTTAATTAATAATTTCAATTCTTAATATTTGAATTAACTAAGGGCATTTTCTAGTATTTGAATGTTTCACCATTTTCTGCCTTTTACTTTATCTATATATATAAAGCAAAAGGCAGAGAATGGTGAAACATTCAAAATGCCAGAAAATACCCTTGATTAATGCAAACATTAATAATTAAAATTAATAATTAAATGAGGATAATATGATAAATTCACACTTTTCATATTTAAAAAAATTAAAATTAAAATTATTTTTTTTTAAAACCTCTTGTAAGCGCGGAAGCGCGTGCGGAGAAACTAGTATATATATATAGATGAAAAAAATTAAAGATCAAAAACTATCTTATCTCCTTTCTTTTTTCTTTTTTTCTCCTTCTCTCTCTTTCCTCCTCTTTTCTTCTTCTTTTCCTTCGCATGGCTGTTTCTTCTCTCTTTCTTCCGCTTTCCTTCTTGGGCAGAGATGAGGAACAGTTCGACTACGAGCACCACTTGTGGAGGTGTGGCTGAATCGCTGGCTGCAGCCGCGAGGCTTAACCAGAACACTGGAAAATAAACCTACAAGTCTAGATCTATATAATGTATACGTATAGATATATATGTACGCACGCACGCATGGTTAATTTTGGAGTTGTAACAATCTCAAGGAGTTTTTACTTTTTGTTAGTGCTACAAGTTGCTACAATAATGTAGACTTATATTTTGCGTTTAAAGGAGTTGTGTAGTCAATCACATAACTCAAGTGTTTGGTTTAAAGTATAAACATGTTTCCATATATAGTTTGGGTTCGCAAATGTTATCGCTATAATCCCACATTACAATTTCTTTGTAGGTCACGAGATAATAGTCATTAGATCAATTGAAAAATTATTATTGGGCGTTTAGATTGAACTACTCAACACACCTCTTTAATAGAGACTCAATTGTAGAAACTCCTCGACAATTAAAGCAAGTGAAGTGTATTCGGTTTGATTCACGTAAGAAACAATCTTAAAACAACTTAATATAATATTCCCCCATCCCCTTGAAAAAAGAAAAAAGAGGTGTAGATGCACTTCAGTGAAAGCACAAAATCCTATACAAAGGGAACATAAGTTTTACAAGATTTCTTCAAAATCAGAGTTAACATGTCTAAATTATGTATCTTAGTGCCAGAAGACTGATCCGTACAGTTGGGTTTGTGGCAGGGATCAATCAAGATATGAATCTTTTAAAATAGAGTAACCAAATAATTAATTTAGGAGAATCACAAGTACTTCTGATTTTGGGGATGTTTCTTGCTATCTGATTCATAGATATGGCTTGGTTGGCTGCCAGTTTATATATGTCTACATTTTCCAGCAAAAGAACCAATGAAATTAACAGCTGGGAGGATCTAAGATCTCATATGCTGAAGATTGAAGAACCTCTCCTCTGACTCTGAGTTGCTCGTACAAATGACTTGGGCCCCTGGCTAGGACCTGATTTAGCACTTTAACCACGTTGATGAGTAAGCTCCCAAGGAATATCTGCACACTTAAAACAATATCATAATAAGGGCGGATTGGGGTTAATCCCAGTTAATCCCCCTTCGATGGTTAAGTCATAAACTAACTTGAAATGGAGAGAAAATGAATATAGGGTTTCCACAGTGAGAGTATTTATTAAATTTGTCTAAAGATAGGTGAGGGGTATTTATAGGGGAGAGAATGAGAGGTAGAAAATATCCCATGCATTGAATGCTCCTTTTCCAACCACCATGCCTTCTGATAGGAAATAGGTGGCGAAGTGATAAACGACATGGGATGGGAGGTGCATTAACTGATCCCTTTTCATCATTAGGTTACCAGTCAGATCAGTGAAGTGATTGACTTCTGACATTGACTTCTGACAAGAGGTTTGCCACGTCTATACATAATCAAATATTTATTTAATAAAGAAAAAAGAGGAACCCAGTAAGGACCGGCTTAACCTGTAAGGCCATCTCCAGTCATATGGCTAAATGTAGTCCAGGGCTAAAAATTTAGCCCTCCAAAATATTAATTTTTTAAAGAATAGTGTAGGGCTAAATTTTTTCATCTCCAATCATGCAGGGCTATATTTTAGGGTCCTTCATATTTTATTATTTTGAAAAAAAACTATGGTACAACACATACATTCCACAACTATGTATTGATTAATTTAATTAAACTACTATTTAGAGACAATATTTCATGACCAAGAATTTTTTATAATTTTTTTTAACAACATTTAAAACATTTGAGAAGGTGACTACATTTTTTTTATTTTTAAAAGGATGGCTTTCAATGGTTTGACATCCAATGGTCATGACCAATAATTTTTTTACAAATTGAAAACATTTAAAAAGACTTTTAAATATATATATATATATATATATATCCAGCTGACATCATCAATGAAAAGCACATGCATAGAGCCCACAAAAAATTTGGCCCAGGACTAGGCCAAAGCTGGGCTAAATGTGGCCCGGTTGGAGGGCTAAATGTGGCCCGGTTGGAGGGCTAAAGGGCCAACTTTGGCCAAAATTTTGTTTAGCCCATAGTTGGAGATGAGTTTTACATTATTTTAGGACTATATTTGGGATATAGCCCATGACTGGAGATGGCCTAAGTCTTGAAAAATCTCAAGAGTTGTGTGACATGCTGAAATGTCATCCACGTCTATGACTTCCTCGCATATCAACATCTGAAGCGACATGTCATCCACTTCTTTGACTTCCTCGCATATCAACATCTGAACCTGAAAGTCGCTTAGTATTTGTTATCTGACTGAGATAGGTGAAACATTTTCTACGAGTGGGGCTGGCCTCTGTTTTAAAAAGAATCCAACTATGTTTCTTCCTTTAGCACTTACTTGCATGACCCATTGAGAAAGTTAGCCATGATTTCTACTAAATGGTTTGCAATGAATATTTTATTGCTCAACTTCCTTCCAATCCTCCCCTCTTCCACTTCCATTGTCATTGGCTCTATAAAGCCAAACCAACCCATGAGAGATGGCGATGTTCTTCTCTCTAGTACTAAAATCTTTGCACTTGGGTTTTTCAGCCCGGCCAATTCTCGTAACCGGTATGTTGGAGTTTGGTACAACAAAGTTCCAAACCAAACCATTGTCTGGGTTGCAAACAGAAACAACCCCATAATTCCTGTCACTGATAATAATGCCTCTGGAGTTGGACTTCTAGCTGTTCATGGAAATGGAGGCCTGGTCATCTATGGGAAGGACCAAAATACCCCTCTTTGGTCTGCTAATGTTTCAGTCTCTTCGCCAAACAATTCCATGACTGCCAAGCTTTGGGATACGGGAAATCTTGTTTTGTTTGAGGAGGACAATGGTCTTAGCCAAAGGGTATTGTGGCAAGGCTTTGATCATCCCACAAATACGTTGCTTTCATTTATGAAACTTGGGCTGGACCGGCGTTCCAAGTTGAATTGGTTTCTCACATCTTGGAAATCTAAAGATGATCCAGGAACCGGTAACTATTCGTATCGGATCGACCCAAGTGGGTTTCCACAGGCCTTTTTATACAAAGGTCAAGCTCCGCGCTGGAGGGCCGGGCCGTGGACCGGAGAGGGATGGAGCGGTGTGCGCCAAACGAGAAATGATTTCCTATTCAACATTAGTTTTGTGAACAATCAAGATGAGGTATCCCTTGTGTATGGTATCATGTATAAATCAATCTCCTCGAGAATAGTGCTTGATGAATCAGGAGCCGTTGCATGGTCCGTGTGGCATGATGAAAGGCAACAATGGATCAAGTATTGGTCTGCCCCAGAAGAGTTTTGTGATGAATATGGGAAGTGTGGTGCCAATAGCAATTGTGACCCGTCCAATATGGGTAAGTTCGAGTGCACGTGCCTACCCGGATACGAACCCAAGTCGCCACGTGATTGGTATTTGAGGGATGGGTCGGGTGGGTGCGTGAGGAATAACGGAGTATCCATATGTGGAAATGGGGATGGGTTCATGAAGGTGGAACGTGTAAAGGTACCCGACTCATCTAAGGCACTTGTGAGCATGAATTTGAGTTGGAAAGCATGCCCGCATGAGTGCTTGAGAAATTGTTCTTGCAAGGCATATGCAAAAGCAGATGAGAGATGGGGAGGGTTCGGATGCGTGACATGGCATGGGGACTTGATGGACACGAGAACATTTTCAAATGCTGGCCAGGATTTGTATGTACGAGTTGATGCAAATGTGTTAGGTAGTTGGTTCATGTCCTTTTCCTTACAAGTCAAGATCATTTTTCACTCGATTAGACTTCGATGGCATAGTTCGTTTATCCCTTCGTTCTTCTATTTTTATCTCATTATAATGCACTATGACTATAGTGTTAGTCGTTTTATAGGAAAAAAATTCCACCATCTTACTAATCTCAAATTTTCCTGGATTTTATTTGTGTTTTTTTTTTACCCTTGAAGCTCAATATGCAAAGTCAAATGGTTCACTTAGCAAGAAGGGAAAACTGGCAATTTCTCTAGTTTCTGTTCTGGTGTTCCTTCTTCTTGTAGTTCCCGTTTCTTATTGGTTGGTAAGGAGGAAAAGAAAAGGTAAATATCTGATACAAATTTATTTTCTTTTCACTATTCATTTGTCACCAAATTGTTCTGCACTGATATCACCCACAACAATGAATTCTCCTTTCATAGAAATACAAGTTGTGCTGCTAATGAAACAAAGGCTAGATAGATTACCTGCTCTGCATTTGATGGCAGGTAAGCAAAGACAAAATAAGTATTCCCCTAGAGTTACCACAAGGTCAACCTACTTTGAAGATTCTACTGCAGAACTTGATGAAAGTAGTATGCACTCAGACATACCATTCTTTGATCTAACAACCATAGCGGCGGCCACGGACAATTTCTCTCTTGCAAACAAGCTTGGAAAGGGGGGTTTTGGCTCAGTCTATAAGGTAGTTATCTTTGAATTATTTCTCAAATCAGAAATCAGATTTTTGTGAATATGCCTCGGTTTTTAGTTTTGCATGCACAAGAGCACTTTCAAGGGCACGAGAAGGCAAATTTCATACAAAAATGTGGATTATATTTTCAGGGTGTGCTTTGTAATGGTAAAGAAGTGGCAGTGAAAAGATTATCAAAACATTCTGGGCAAGGAATTGACGAATTTAAGAATGAAATTGTGCTGATTGCAAAACTCCAACACAGGAACCTTGTCAGGATTTTAGGTTATTGCTTTCAAGATGAAGAGAAGATGCTAATCTATGAATACGTGCCAAACAAAAGCTTGGACTCTTTCATCTTCAGTATGTCTTCCTTTTGCTTTCATATCTAATTTTGTCACTTGAAAACTAATAAGGAAGCAAGAATTTAGTCTATTTTCTTACTTTTAACATCCAGATGACACAAAAAGAGCACTTCTAGATTGGACAGTACGCTTCGGGATCATATATGGGATTGCTAGAGGGATCTTGTATCTTCATCAAGATTCAAGGTTAAGGATTATCCATAGAGATCTAAAGGCCAGTAATGTTCTACTGGATGCTTCTATGAACCCCAAAATTTCAGATTTTGGTATGGCTAGAATTTTTAGGGGAGACAAAAGTGAAGCGAATACAAATCGTGTGGTTGGAACATAGTAAGTTAAATTTTTCTCCAAATGTATAAGATATCACAATAGTTTCTTTCTAGATTCACAAGACCACCAACTGATGAAATACTTGATAATGCATGTCACGAGAGCATACAATTCAAAGGCTAATTTCAACATATTCTGTGGATCAGTGAATCAATGCTTTCGTAATCACTTTTCTTTCTGCTGCAGTGGTTATATGTCTCCAGAGTACGCAATGGGAGGACATTTTTCAGTGAAATCTGATGTATATAGTTTTGGAGTTATACTCCTAGAAATCGTTACTGGCAGAAAAAATTCTGGTTATTACCACGACAAGTATCCAGACGCAAATTTGGTTGGACATGTAAGTTTACTGGCTTTGTGGAAAACGATGTAGTTTTTCCTCTACTTATTCATGCTAACTTTGATTATCTAAAATCGTTTTTAGGTTTGGAACTTGTGGAGAGAAGGTAGAGTCTTGGAAATCGTCGATCCATCTCTGGGTGAATTGTACCCTGTCAACGAAGTTGTGAGATGCATCCAAATTGCACTCTTGTGTGTGCAAGAGTATGCCACTGACCGGCCAACCATGTCAGCAGTTGTTTTCATGTTAGGGAATTATGATGCAGCAGTTCCTTCACCAAGACAGCCTGCATTTTTGTTACAGAGAACTTATGCTGCTAGAGACCCATCAACCAATACAGAAGGAGCTAAGTCTATGAATGATGTTACATGTACTAGTGTACAAGCTCGCTAAAAGGCCTAGGCCACAAAATATTGGATGTTAAGCTACGACAACTATATAGCAGCCTGCGTCAAAATTATTCACTTGTGGCTATTTTTCCACTTTACTTTGAATGGGATGCCAAACCCACCCTTGAATTAGATTTTAGTAGCTTTGGTGAGGACGTATTAGCAGAACGGGGATGTAGCTCAGATGGTAGAGCGCTCGCTTAGCATGCGAAAGGTACAGGGATTGATACCCTGCATCTCCATATTTTTAATCATTGTTTTTACATATATAAAAGAAGCTACTAGTTTATCTTCATCATAATAATGAGGATTAACTACACTTTAGTCCCTGGAGGTTTAGTGTCAGTATCGAAATGGGCTCCATGGTTTCATTTAAATCAATTTCTTACCCAACATTTCGAAGAATTACCAATTTACACCAGCAGTTACATTGACCGTCAAAGTCAAACGTTAAATGCTGACGTGGCAGGCGTGGGGCCCACCTTATAACCAAACAACAGTTAGAAAGAGACGAGACGAAGGGCAATTTCGGAAAGAAAAAAAAACCAACGTTCGCCTACTCTCTCCAACGCACGCGTTCCAAGGCAAGTCCTCCATTACCCAGGCTTGGAAAAATCAAAGAAACTCAGAAATTGAGTTTTGTTCGTGGAGAGGAAAAAGGAGCAAGGAAAAAAGTTGAGAGGAAACTAACGAAGAAGATCCGATTGGCTGGCCGGAATGGATGAAGAGGAGCGGATGTGTTGCTGCGAAAAAGCTGCTACAATTCAAACGTCTTGGACATATTCGAATCCTGGGAGACAATTTTCCATGTGTGCAGCAAAGGTACGTGCGACCAGCCATGTGTGAACGGTCAAAGGCAGTGATTCCTGGGCTTCTAAAATCGCAGAATAAGCTGGAGAAATCAGTGGCAAAGGCAAGACAAAGAGAAAAGGTCATTTGGGTGTTGTTGGTAGCTTTGTGGGTTCTATTTGCAAGCATCAATTTGGGAGGGATGTGTGGATGTGGAGTGAATAAAAAGAGGAGCTTGGGATTAACTTTTGCCATTGAATGAATTGTTTGTGGGTTGTTTTTGTGATTCCATGATTCACATTTTGTGCCAAAGCTTTAAAGAATATTTTCAGCTCCAAAAGGGTCAATATTTTCAGCCTCCCTCTTGCACATAATACACTCATGAGGAGATAGACTAACTTTAGGCCTCTTTTGAACCACAAGTATTTACTCTACCGCGAGCAATAATCTAAAGAATATTTTTACACGGTACTTTTGCCCCTCCAAATCATATGATAGGGGTTGAAATGGGGGAGAGATGACTCATCAATCAACCTATGTGAAATAACACCTAAAATGCCCAAAGACTGAAGAGTCCAATTCTATCTGGTGTTAAAATTGCTAATGAAATCTAATGAAAAATTCTCAATCAAAGAGAGTCAAGAACGAAGCTGCAAATTTCTATAGAGATTGAAACTCCAACTACAATTACTACATCACTTTCTATAGCAAAGTAATCTAATCAACTCTCTCTTCACAAACAAGCAAACAGTGCTAAAAAAAGTGCAAATGCTACAGTGCGAGCTCACACAATGCAAAGTCCCTTCCCAGTCCAAATCAAACCCTTACACTCTACACATCAACCACCAATCAAAAAATTGAACCAAAAAGTCAGATCTTTATGCTTATACATCACTATTAAAAGAAGTGTGATTCTTGTTATTGAATAAACAGTTACAAAGGCCTTTATACTGAAAATATAACTAATCTAACAGATGAATAACTAATTACTTGCCTTTAACTATTAGCAAAAATTACCAATTTAATGAAGTAAAATTCAGTACAAACAATGTCACTATTCACAAATTTACACAAACACAAGGAAATAAAAAGAATTAACAACAACTGTGCAAATCAGATTACAACAGCATCGCAGAATCTAAAGCAAGAAAAAAGTCATTTTCCAACTGTCATCAAACTACACAATTGTTCAAAATCAATAAAAAGTCATTTTCCAACTGTCAACAACAACGAAGAAGAAATTGCATAAACATAAATAACTCAAAATCAATACAATTCAGCGCCCGCCAAAGAAGGAAGAACCAGACAGAGATAATTGCCCTCCTCTACTCTCCGGAATTAGCCCTTCCCTCCTCCACCAGTGACAGGACCCGTTCAGAAATTCCTCGGAACCTGGGACGGACCTCGCACGTCTAGAAAGATACATGCGATAAAGGAAAACTCGTGCTCCATTAAAATATGAAACTGTTGAAATGAACATCTATATAAATACAATTGCGAAAAAATATTTATGAAACTTTATAAGTCCCGCGTAGCGCGTGATTAAAAAAATGCATTTCACACGCGCGGAAGCGCGTGCAGGGAAGCTAGTATTTATAAAGAATAAACTAATGCAAATAGAATAGTCCTTTTTTTTTTATAAATATAATATAATTAAAGGGTATCGCCTCCCGGCTATACTACCGCGTTTTTATTTTTTATATAAAATAGTATAGTTGCATGGGGACTAAATTGGCCAAATGGGTAAAACACATGGACTATTTTGACATTTAAGTCTACATAATATGCACATAGGAGGAAGATATCAAGACCACTTGTGCCACCCATTCCTCTCTTACTGATCTTTCACTTTTTCATTGTCAATCTATACATAAATAACATGAGATAAGACCAAACTTAAACATATACTTTTAAATTTGTACTAATCAAATTTTAGCATAATTTGGGAACACGTATACTCACCTTCAATTTTGATAGTTTATCCTTTGCTATATGTCTACTCCAATGATCGAAAGAAAACTGTACCAAAAATAGTGTCATTTTCATAAGTCAAGAGGCAAAAGGAAAATTCTTTCATTTCTATATAAGAAGCCACATTTAGCAATAAAACAATTAATAAGAAATTGCTAGAGGATTAAAGGAACAGTTTCATGATTTGCTACCTTAACACTATGATAAACACAATTTTGGGCCTAAAGAGGTTTTAACAATGTAAAATAGGAGGACTATATGTAATTGTGTGGTAATGTAGAATAGTAATGTTTTAAGTCTCGTCACAAATACTGTGTCACAGAAAGTAGAGGCATTTTCTATGTTTCACCTAAGTGCAATAAAGTACATTAAGAATCCTTTAGTTTTGTTTATAATTCTTAAAGGTGGTGCTTTTATAGTTGGGAAAACATCTTTATTGGCTGCTTTTTTTATTTAAAAAAAAAAAAACCATTTTCAGACCATTGTAAAGCAAATGTTCTGCTACAGTGCATATATCAACATTTGGTTTTGCATCTATTTTTTTGTCGTACGTGTTTTTATTTTCAACATGCTAGCATCTCCATTTGCTACACAGTGGACCCATTCTTGTATTTTTAAGTAAAATTAACCATATGAATTCGCCATTAAAAATACCTACAAATACCAAGATCCTACATAAAACAGCAAATGTACTCATATCTCATTAACATATTTGAGAGTGGGGTGATTTTGTTGAGCATGAAGACTTAATGACCGTATGCAGCTCCTGAATAATCAGAGTTCCTCTGTTCTTTCAATTCTGTAGCAATCTTCGTTCCCACCTCCTTTATTTTGTTGTTGAAGTAGTGGAAACACTTCATTGCATAGAATCCTATAGCAACTCCTTGCTAATTGTTACATCAATCTTCCTTTGCTGCCATTGAGTCAATTGAAGAAAATTAAAGCCTATTATTGATATGTCACATGATTGTAAGGAAGTATCAGCATCTTCATATAAACATAATTAAAATTCTCAAATAGTTCAAAATGCTAAATGAAGAAACAATAGGTCACTACCAAGATAACCATACATAAAATGTTTACTTGACAATGAAGAATAAGAATCACAGAGACAGAGAAGTGGCCAAAGAACTGTAGTCATTTAATGAAAACCACAAAGATAATATGGATTAAAGGGTGAACATGCATTTGAAACAATATTCTGCATAATAAAAGAATACAATTGACTATGAAAAATGAATGCAATCTTGTACTTCTTCATCCATTCTAAATGAAGGCAAATGGAAAAAGCAAAATCAAATTAAGAAAATCACTACGTTGCTTTTGTTCAGGAGAAAGATTTCATACAATGTATGCATTATTTTGCAACTGATAATTTTAGGATATATTTATTGTTTAGATAATACTTGTGTTAACATTAGTTATTATTGTCAAGATGGGAATGAAGACATTTTCCTAATGGTTATGTGATAAAGCAAACGATTAAGCAAATAGATAGCAAAGAAGAGGACAGAGAAGAAACTGAGGGAAGAAAATAAATTGATATCCTGAATAATAAATAGCAACGCAAACAGGAGGACATAGAAATGATATCTTGTTAAATTCACCCTCTTGCATAACAATATTAACCGAGGAAGACAAAAGAATAAACATGAGTAAATGAATTTATGCAAGATTGCCCCAGATATTTAAATCTGTGCAAAATTCAACTCTCTCACATAGTTTTTCAGCAAACCTTTAGAAAAACCAAAGATAAAGCAAAAGAATAAACTGAAAATAAAAAATTTAAAGCTGAAAAGAGTGGCTTCGAGGCATTTGAAAACCACAGAGTAAAAGCTGAAAAAAATATATATACATTTCAGACATAAGTCAAACAAACACATAACCACAATGATACACACAAACAACACCTGCCAATCTACCAAACCAATTGGTAAGCAGCAAGTCAAGAAACTGACCTCATTTAGGTAGGTGTATGGTATATCCATTGCCCTTCTTCAACCATGGATGGCCTCTCCCCTTGTAGCAATTGTAGCCTATTGGTAGTCTAGCTCAGTAAAGAAATGACCTGCATAAATGAAGCCAGCATCATAGTACACAAGAACTTTCTTTCTATATACAAAAAAAAAGAAGCAAATAACAATAGCCAAATTAAAGCAACTGGCCCAATTTTAGGAAAACAAATACAAAAATCAAACATAAAATTAAAGTAAAAAAAAAAAAATAGAACTACAATTGTAAACTGAGTTCCTAGACTTGTTCAAAGAGTGGCATGACAGGTTTGGTAACAACAAAGATGGTACGCTTGGTGGTAGAAGCACCCAAAGTTTCACCGGCTTAAGTACTATGAAGTAAGGATATAATATTTGGGTGTCTAACCTGAAACAAAATCATATTCCAACTAATGTATCCTGATTGGAAACTTTAAAATACAAAATAGTTTCCAACTAACCTGAAAAACATGAAATACATAGTTTCCTCTACTTCTTTTGCTTCATGTATGGAATCGAACCCTTATACGTCAGAGAGGTGAGAGACGATTCCATCTGTTAAGATAAAATTCCAAAGACTTTAATTTTATAAGTCAAAGCAAAACATTCAAATTAGAGACATAGATAATTAGAAATGCAAACAAAAGCATTCATATAAATATCATTAGTGACAAAAGCATTTTTCAAAAATCAAATTACATAGTTTATACAAATTTTGACAGGAAGATTGAGAAAAGCTCACAGTGTAATTGCCACCATAGCAAATTATGTCCCTTTTGGGGTTTTGCAAGTAATCTTTGTAGAGCTTATATACGGTGGTGGTGGTGGTGGATATGTCGCTGTAGCCATTGCCAGCACCTTTTGGCCAAACCTAAATCTACAAAGTTAAAGAAAACAATCACACGAAGCGCAGCTGTTGAAATCAAACAGAAAACAAACTGAAATAACCTAATAGAAACATTAAGAAATCACCCAATAACCTAGAAACATAAGTCTCCTTTGCATCACAACACCTACACCTAAAGCGAACACATACCCACACAATTCTTTAAACCAAACCATAAACCTGCAATTTCCTTTTAACAGGGCCAAAATACCCACACCTTCTGCATCTCTACCACTCAATCATCCAAAACAACCAAACTACAATAAAATGCATTCTACCAAACCAAAAATAAAACCCATTTAAACAAAACATTGTCAAAGATTACAGGCTACACAAATCATCCCAAAAATTAAATTCATAACTCCATCTGCATTAGCTGTTGATGGAATGTGAACTTCGAAACGTATTGTTATAAACTTTTACATTGGCATAAGACCCTTTCATAAGAAATAATAAATGGTAATAAATATATAAATCTATTCCAAAACTAAAATCAGAAATTCATAACAATACAAATGTAAAATTAGAGAGACTACACAAAGCGACCTTACCTAAACTAAAAAAGCCTAATTCTGGCAGCTGAACTGAAATTGGGAATTGATGTACAGAAGCAATTGAATTACTGAAAGAGAAAAAAGACAATTATGTCACTAATAAAGGTATGAAGGTCACAGGAGGTACCTTTGGACTTGTCCACGAAGAAGAGCGACTTTGATTCACTGCTAGAAGAAGTCATGATCAATGCTTATGTTGACTCACCATGATGCTTCCCTATCCCTCTATCTGTTTTGAGTCTCTATTGTGCTGCTTTCTCCTGCAGCAAACTGTATCTACTTAAACAATTGAAAAATGAAAAGAAAAATGAATATCAGAGCTAGAGACAACTAAAATATCAACAACCACATCAAAGAACCCCCGAAATATTTATTTATGGAATTGAGTTCCTCTCCATTTCCAAGCACGCATTCACTGCAAAGTTCAAACAAAAGAAAAATCTCAAAACATACTGAAAATTTTAATTTTCAACCAACACGATGCCAAGTAGCTTCAGAAAAAGCAAAGACAATGCGAAGCTTCACGGGACTTCCTAGCACAAAATTCCTAAATAAACAAATGAAATTGCCCAAATCATCATTGAAATGGAGAAAAACTGAGAAGAAGATGAGAGCACGTACCTGTAATTGGTGATTGAAACACTCAAAACAATTGAGCAATTAATTTCTCCACTACCCCCCTTCCTCTTGTCTTGAGTTCATATAGCATCAGAAGACAAAAGACGAAAAAAAGAGAGGAGGAAAGCAAATAAGAAGAGGAGAGCACCGAAGAAAAAGTTTTCTGCAACTGAAATGAACTGATGCTTGATTGAGGGATGATATTGGGGTAAAAACTGAAAGGAGCTGCTCTTCACACGATCTGGCTGAGTTTTGTAGTTTTGTGGGTTTGTATTTTTTTCCTTCTTATTTTATTGCGTGTTTACGAAACTACACATCCGAACTCTAAAACATAAATTTCTCATAAGCTATTGGTTTTTCTGTTTCAGGGGTTTTTCTGTCCAAGAATTTTTGGCATTTCTTGAGCACGTTTTCTTCTTATTTCTTTTTCTTGTTTTTTTAAAATTAAAATTTCAACACGTTTATTTTATTACTTTACCCTTTTTTAATTAATTTTTTCTGCTTTAAATCAGTGGTGTTTTACCATTTCACCCTCTTTTAATTAAAATTGTATGCTTTTAATTTTTTTCTTTGATAAAAGGCATATTCAGAATTTTTGAATGTTTCACCGTTCTTTGTTTTTTACTTTATATATAGATATATAGATGAAAAAAATTAAAGCTCAAAAACTATCTTATCTCCTTCTCTCTCTTTCCTCCTCTTTTATTCTTCTTTTCCTTCGCCTGTTTCTTCTCTCTTTCTTCCGCTTTCCTTCTTTCTTCCTCATTTCTTCTTCCTTTCCTTCCCCAGGCCGTTTCTTTTTTCTCCTTTTCTTCCTCTTTTCTTCTTCCTTTCCTTCCCAGGCCGCACCCACTCCTCCTTCCTTCCGTGGCATGAATCCCATACACCCACCCATATATATATATATATATATATCTCTCTCTCTAGTTCCACTACTTAATGGTTGTGGTGATTTGATTGGGTGATGATGGTGGTTGAGCTGGTATGTGGTGGTTCTTCTTCATGCATGTCTCTGTTTTTCTTTTCTTTTCTTCTTCCTCCGTATTGTTTTTTCTTAGTTTGCAGATTTGTGTTATTTTGGGTAGGAGAAGATTGGTGTTGTTCTTGTCGGTGGGTTTATCGGTTGTTAGAAGCAGAGAAGAATTTTGGATTTTGGTCTGATAGGGAGAGACGATTGAGCGAGAGATTGAGCAGAAGCAGTGTATTTTGAGTGTTTGTTTTATGGGAGAACAAAAATATCTTTTTTGTGTTTTGTAGAAGTAAACGTGAAGTGAAGTTGGTCTCATCTCATTTTATGAAAACATTTTCAATGTTTTCTGTTTTTGCCCACCGAACACATTTCTGCTTTGTTTTTGTTTTTTGAAAATGAAAAGGGTCTCTAAAACGTAAACGAACGGGTTGAATGAAGAAAAAAGAGGGTCCCAGCCTGTAAGACTTGAAAAATCTCAAGAGTTGTGTGACCTGCTGAAATGTCATCCACGTCCATGACCTGCTGAAAGTCGCTTAGTATTTGTTATCTGACTAAGGTGAAACGTTTTCTACGGGTGGGGCTGGCCTCTGCTTTAGAAAGAATCCAACCATGTTTCGTCCTTTAGCACTGAATTGCATGACATTGAGAAAGTTAGCCATGAATTCTACTACTAAATGGTTTGCGATGAATATTATATTGCTCAACTTCCTTCCAATCCTTCCCTCTTCCACTTCCATTGCCATTGGCTCTATAAAGCCAAACCAACCCAACCCATGAGAGACGGCGGTGTTCTTCTCTCTACTACTAAAATCTTTACACTCGGGTTTTTCAGCCCGCCCAATTCTCGTAACCGGTATGTTGGAGTTTGGTACAACAAAGGTTGTGAATTTATTTCTTTAGGTTGTAAATTTATATATGTTTGAGAAGTTCAAGTTGTGAATTTATATTTTTTGGTTAAAGTATGCTTGAACTCAAAAAGTTTCAAAAGAAGCATAAAACCTAGGCTTAAAAGTGTGGAAAATTGAATTTTTATGACATAAAAATACCACACTTCAAGATCTAAAATTATCTAATTAGGCCCAAAATATTCAAATTGGTTTAAACCGTTAATTCACGGTAACCGACCGATTTTTGAGGTTTCAAAAATCACATTACCGCAAATAGTCTGTCGGTTTGCGGTTCGAGGAAAATTTCGCGATTACCGAACCGCAACCACCTCTAGTACCAACTAATTTTATATTATTATATTATATACTTATATAATTTATACAAATCTAAAGACACAGTACTTATTTATTTAGTTAACTTCCAATACATATATAAACATTCTTATATTATAAGTATATACTAGCCCCTTGGCACGCATGTGCCAATTGGTTTTCTTTTTTCTTTTTTATTTTATTTTTAGAATTAAGAAAAAATAACATGGGTAGTTATGTTCCATAAAAATAGAACTTATTATCTGATTTTGTTTTATATTTTATTTTATTTTAATATGAAAAAAGTGAATTTACCATATTATCCTCATTTAATTAATAATTTCAATTCTTAATGTTTATATTAACTAATGGCATTTTCTGGTATTTTGAATGTTTCACCATTTTCTGTCTTTTGCTTTATATATATATATATATATTGATTATCTTGCCTTAGTACTTTTTTTTTCTTCAGCAAAATAGTTATATGTTGATTTTTTCTTCTGTAATGGGGCGGGTTGGGGAACCTATTCCCCAACGAATGTGGGAATGAGGAATCCCCAATATAAATATTGCGGATATGAAGGCGGATATAGGGATGAGAATGACATACCCACCTTCGATTTGACCCATTGCCATCCTTACCCACCCCCATCATTGTTCCTAAATTTGACCAGCCCAACCAATGCTATATATTTTACATCAACATTTACAATTATATTTTTTGGTCGGCCAAAGATGGATTGATCTCATTCTACAATGCCTTTTTTTTTTTTTAATGTCAATCTAATTTTACAGTGCTACTTACCCCATTGTTAATTATTTAGTTAAGTGTCACCACTAAATCATTGACGTGTATCCCTTATCTCAAGTGATTTCAAACTTAAAAAAGGAAGACTAGAAAGGGGTAGGGGAAACTCATACACAGGGTACATAGGGCTTGAACCAAGGATCACTTGAGAGCATACCAAATTAGGTTAGAATTTAAGAGGAAAAATTGACAATTCCTTTATTTAGCAACTTAAGCACGAAATTTATTAAATAACATGTGAAAAAAAAATTGTGGAAATTAGGGGCATCAAATTTTCGAATTTAATTTCCACCAAAATAGGCATTATTTCACAGTTTCCATAATGCAATTTATAAAATTATGTCATTTACAAAATTCGACATACATAAATCCAAACACTGAATTCTTCAATTGCCAGAAAATAAAATGATGAAAATATAAATTCTGTCATTTAAGAATTCTATGTAATTTTCAATCCCTTCATAGAGTATAGCATTAACATCAACAATATTGTAAAGCTGATATGGTGGACTTCTTTGTCCGGTAATAATACTGTATTCTGTCAATTCCGTTAAAAGATTTAAGAATCATTGGAGTGTGAGATTGTCTAAGAAACTTCAAAGTTTGAACATGAGGGATTGCCGAGGTTTTCTAATGCGTAATACTATCCTCTCTCGCCGTCAGATATTTTTATTGAATGAAGAAAAAAGAGGGTCCCAGCCCAGTAAGGACCTTAACCTGTAAGACTCGTAAATTCTCAAAAGTTGCGTGACCTGCTGAAATGTCATCCATGTCTATGACTTCCTCGCATATCAACATCTGAACCTGAAAGTCGCTTAGTATTTGTCATCTGACTGAGATGGGTGAAACATTTTTTACGAGTGGGGCTGGCCTCTACTTGAGAAAAAATCCAACTATGTTTCTTCCTTTAGCACTTAATTGCATGACTCATTGAGAAAGTTAGCCATGAATTCTACAACTAAATGGTTTGCCATGAATATGATATTGCTCAACTTCTTTCCGATCCTCCCCTCTTCCACTTCCATTGTCATTGGCTCTATAAATCCCAATCAACCCATGAGAGATGGCGATGTTCTTCTCTCTAGTACTAAAATCTTTGCACTTGGGTTTTTCAGCCCGGCCAATTCTCGTAACCGGTATGTTGGAGTTTGGTACAACAAAGTTCCAAACCAAACCATTGTCTGGGTTGCAAACAGAAACAACCCCATAATTCCTGTCACTGATAATAATGCCTCTGGAGTTGGACTTCTAGCTGTTCATGGAAATGGAGGCCTGGTCATCTATGGGAAGGACCAAAATACCCCTCTTTGGTCTGCTAATGTTTCAGTCTCTTCGCCAAACAATTCCATGACTGCCAAGCTTTGGGATACGGGAAATCTTGTTTTGTTTGAGGAGGACAATGGTCTTAGCCAAAGGGTATTGTGGCAAGGCTTTGATCATCCCACAAATACAATGCTTCCATTTATGAAACTTGGGCTGGACCGGCGGTCCAAGTTGAATTGGTTCCTCACATCATGGAAATCTCAAGATGATCCGGGCATCGGTAACTATTCGTATGGTATAGACCCAAGTGGGTTTCCGCAGGCCTTTTTATACAAGGGTCAAGCTCCGCGCTGGCGGGCTGGGTCGTGGACCGGAGAGAGATGGAGCGGTGTGCCCAAAATGACAAACTTCATATTCAACGCTAGTTTTGTGAACAATCAAGATGAGTTATCAATTATGTACATGAGTGAATCAATCCTCTCGAGGATGGTACTTGATGAATCAGGAGCCGTTGTACGGTCCATATGGCATGATCAAGGGCAGCAATGGATCAAGTATTGGTCTGCCCCAAAAGAGGAGTGTGATGAATATGGGAAGTGCGGTGCCAATAGCAATTGTGATCCATCCAATATGACTAAGTTCGAGTGCACGTGCCTACCCGGATACGAACCCAAGTTGCCACGTGATTGGTATTTGAGAGATGGGTCAGGTGGGTGCGTGAGGAAAAGCGGAGTATCCATATGTGGAAACGGGGATGGGTTCGTGAAGGTTGCACGTGTGAAGGTACCCGACTCGTCTAAGGCACGTGTGAACATGAATTTGAGTTGGAAAGCATGCCAGCAGGAGTGCTTGAGAAATTGTTCTTGCAAGGCATACGCAAACGCAGACGAGAGATGGGGAGGGTTTGGATGCGTGACATGGCATGGGGACTTGATGGACACTAGAACCTTTTCGAATGCTGGCCAGGATTTCTATGTACGAGTTGATGCAATTGTGTTAGGTAGTTGGTTCATCTCTTTTTCCTTAAAAATCAAGATAATTTTTCACTCGATTAGACTTCATT